GCAGCTCACTGTTGGCCGCAGTGCAGCCGGAGCAGACAGGAAGTGTGAGGTCTCTTTTAAGAAAACAATAAACAATAAATGTGTACCGTATTCTTCTTCATGGAAAAATAAGACATCCCCTGAAAATAAGACCTAGCGCACCTTATTTTCGCAGAAACAGGGTAGTTACTGAGGCTCTGTTTCGTTGTCATGTTCTCTATGACTGTCACCTGCAGTCCGCCCTTCAACGTCTCTTGGGATGCTGAGTTTGGGTGTTCAAAAATCACCACCCTCCCCTCTGACACCAGCTCTCAGTTCCAGGCTCCCCTCGTCCACCCTCAGACTTGATAATTTGCTAGAAGGCCTCACATGGAAAGCTGTTATATTCACAGTGGTGTTTATTACCGCAAAAGGAAACACACTGAAATATACCAGGAAGTGACCAGAAGGCAGAGTTCCACAAGAGATTGGGGGTGGGGGTGGGTGGGGGTTAGGGGTGGCATTCCCTCTGGTCCTGGGCCTCAAATGTGGAGTCATGGGCAGCATGGACTTCTGTCAGAAAGGAGGGGTGGCAATATGCACGTAGCACCACAAGCAAGGGAAGCCATCCTGCCTTGGTGCCCTGAGCCTTGCAGCTGGGGGTGGGGGGCTCTGAACATAAATATGGTTGACAGCTCCCATGGCCGACCTTGGTTCCCAGGCCCTCCGGAAGTGGAGCTGATACCATGTGATTCAAAGCTCTCGAAATAAATCACAGGGTTAGAATGGACCAGCTGGCACAGCCCAAGGCCCCAGGTAAACAAAGACAGTCTTATCAGGCAGGACATTCCAAGGGCTTTGAGATTATCTCCCGGGAGCCCAGGGCAAAAGCTAGACCTCTCTCTGGGCAAGGTTAACTGTTGCCTGCACGATGCATTTTTCATATTTCAGAGAGAGATCGGTTTTTCTTTCCAGCTCTAGGTTTTCCATTCATTTCTTGTAGTTAGTTCTGTCTGGCTGCAGAGGCTTCTTTGTTCATTACAAGGATGTTTTCTTCTGAATCGCTGAGTCTAGTTCGAACAGCTGTTTTAAAATTCTTGTGTGCTCATTCTGACAAGTGGGTCATTTGGGGATTAGACTTGGTGTGTGTGTGTGTGTGTGTGTTTGGTTTTTTTTTCTTCTTTCTAATACAAGCTGTATTGAGATACAATTTACAATGTAGAATGAAGTGGGTGTGGGTATTGACACAAAGCTGGTCCTTGATTGCCTTTTGCCTTGATGCTGGATCACACTTGAATGCTTTCTTGCATGTCCAGTAATTTGGAGTTATAGCTGAGAGAGAGTCTGTCTGGATTCTGATTGACTTGTATTTCTCTGAACAGGATTCATTTTGTTGTCATTTTACCAGGAAGTTAACTTGACGAGATTCATACTCCAGAGTCAATGTTTCCCATCTTGAGTGGCCACAAAAATCGAGGTTCAGGTCTTTTCGCTTTAACTGCCCTGGTGGTACAGTCAATTAAGTGTTTGATGGTTAACCACAGGGTTGCTGGTTCAAACCCACCACTGATCCCCAGGGAAAAAGCAGACTCTGCTCCCATACAGATTTACTGTCTCTGAAACCTAGAGTTCTATGAGGTGGAATCAACCCAAAGGCAGTGGGTCTGGTTTGACTTGGTTCAGAAGGAGCCTTAAGAGGCCTAGGGGCACAGCAGCTAAGTATTTGGCTGCTAACCAAAAGGTCAGTAGTTTGAACCCACCAGCCGCTCTAGGAGAGAAAGACCGTCTGTTTTTGTGGGAACCTAATGGGGCTGTTCCGTTCTGCCCCGTAGGATCCCTGAGTTGGAATCAACTCCACGGCAGTGCGTTTCACTGGCGTTGGTAGGAGCCTCAGTGGCACAGTTGTTAAGTGGTCTGCTATTCACGGGAATGCTGGCAGTTCAGACCTACCAGGTCTCATGTGGGAGGAGGAGGTGGAAAACCGCCTTGGAAACCCTGCAGAGCAGCTCGGCTCTGTCCTCTGGTGTGGACGGCAGATTCCCTTCCATCCATTTCTGAACCGCTGCATCCATCATACCACATCCACTGTCCTCTGCAAAAGGTCAACCTTGATCTTTTTCTGCCTGAGCTGGAGAGTCATTGAAAGTGCTCAGTTTCCCTAATCATCCCCCCAGCCTTGACCATGCTTTACTAACTGCTTCTGGAAACTCCCTCCATTTTTTCCCCGCCCTCCCCCCAGCTCCTCAGAGTGCATTCCCGGCAATGAATGAATGAATGAATGAATCTTTCAGACCTTTGTGCCGACATCCATGCATGCACAGCCATGCATGTGGAGATTACCGTTTTCCTAGCGGGCAGCACCGGCCCTCTCTGACTTCACAAGAGGGTAGGACAATTCAGCTCATCAGACCCAGGGTGATGGCTATAAGGCAAACAGAGGTCAGACATGCCTCCACACTCTAACCTCCTTACCAATTCCAACATCTACCGCTCCTCCTACAGCACTCTCTACTTCCCTGCTGGGCTCGATCATTCATTGTAGTGGCCCCACAGAACTTACAGACCGCATGCACAATTACAAGGTTAATTAGAGGAGTTGTCAGTTTACAAATCAGGATCTGAATTGCTCAGGATACATTTCTGTGGTCAGGACAGGCTCTTCTCTGCCATGCCTCCAGGTCAACCTCTCACTTTCTCTCCCTCTGGCCCTCAGTCCTTTGGCCTGGCCCTATCCTATGCTGGCAGTGCTACAGAGTTCTTTTATCATTGCTGGTAGATGTCCAAAGGGAATTCCTCTCTGCCATAAACCTCAGCCCGAATATACTAGACTCTAGCTACTGTACATTATTTCCAAAACACCAACTCTGACCTCTTTCCTGAGCAACATTTTCACATTCCCGTCTAATTCTCATGCCGATCTAATTTAATAAACCCAAACATGTGAAATCTCTTTTTATTAAATTAATTGCTTCTCTCAGATTTCCTAATTCTCTTGATGATATCCCCATTCCTCTAGCCAGCTGTCTTCATTTTCTATTGTTGCCATAATAAATTAGCACCAATTTCATGGCTTAAAACAATAC